TTTTTAAACAAAAAAAAACTGTCGGGGGTTTTTAACCCTTCCCTTCTCTATCCAAAATGGAATATTAAACATTTTGGTCTCACATATACTTTTAAAATTGTCTCTCTTTTGGGCAAGACTGTTATTTATGTAGAAGCTTTCTTTGCCGCATACTGAATAGTTAATGTGACTGAAGAATCTCTGCAAAGACAGGTCCACTTTGAAAGAAAATGTTTCATTTGAGATGAAATCAACACGCAAACATCTGTTAAAAATTAAAAAAAGAAAAAAAAATGTGAGTGCAGGAAGGCTCGTTGCTATACCGACTGGTATCTAGAAATATCCCGTACACCGCATCCCTGACAACCCCTAGACAAGATGCATCTATTTATGAGACAGACAAAAATAACATATTTCTTATTCCCTGGATTCTATACCAGGTCACAAAATGCTTTAAAGGCAAAGCGCAGTTTTAATAGTTTTGCTATATTTTGCTACCAAACTATTGACATGCAGATTCACCCAAAAGATGCTTCTGGCGTGTGCAGATCCACCTTATCAAGGTCACACCATTGGTGGTACGTCTGTATAATTGATGGGCTTTTGTAGATATGAGTGTGGAATGGTTATACATACATCAAATCTATTTTGGACACACCTAAATGCTCAAACAATATGCAAATTTGTCCTTACCAAGGTGCCTCATCTGCATAGAGAAAGCCAGTGGGTATAGCTTTCATGACCATAGCTTCCAACTGCTCCTCATTTGCATATCCCTCCATCCCTCTTCTCTTCTCATGTGTCCTTATTTTGGTCTGATGTATACATCTTAGGAAATATATATATAGATATATACATATATATCTATATATATATATATTGAGTGGCCAGATTATTATGACCACCTGACGTAGTACTGATGGGGTGGTCATAATAATCTGCCAACTCAGTGTATCTGTGTGTGTGAATATATGATTTATATGTATGTCCAACCATTCCTGCAAAAGCCTTGCAGTGCTATGGATGTACGGCCAATGATGTGGGGCCTTCACGCTTCAGAAACATAGAATCAGCAAAACTACATTGAGAAAACTTGTAATCTTTCTATAGAAGCTTTGGGAACCCCCGATGAAGCACTCCAGGTGTCTGACAAGTGATTGATAGAACTTGAAAAGGAAAGTCCTGAAATATCCTTCCTGACCAAGGCACCTCATCTTCAAAAAGAAGGCTCGCGGGTAGCAAGAAAGTCTTATATGTTATGACCATAGCTCCCAATTGTCCCTCATTTGGAAGAACATGATAGAGAAGGCTTGTTGCATTCCTTACCGGAAAGTCGCGTATTCAGGGAAAGGTGCCCGGAATGACTGCGGATGGCGCCGCCAATTGCACATAATATGAGAGAGATGTCACCAGCACACCAAGTTCCTTCAAGGATAATCAATCGTGGATTTATTGAAAACTCAGAAAACTCAGAAGTGTTTATGACATGAGTTTTCAATAAATCCACGATTGATTATCCTTGAAGGAACTTGGTGTGCTGGTGATATCTCTCTCATATCATTTGGAAGAACATCCTTCTGTCTCTCATTTGTCAACTCATCCCTCTGTCCCTCTTTTCTTCTCATCTTCATCTGATGTATACACCTCTGTGAACTGTATAAGATTATACTGTATATACGTAACCATCCCACACTTCTTCCTCAAAAAGCTTTGCGGTGGTGGTATGGATGTACGTCCCATGGTGGGGCCTTCATAAAGGGGACCTGCGCGTCCTGCGCGTTTCCAAAACGTTAAATCTGTATGCCAATAGCAACACACTGCACTGCAAAGATTTGTAATCTGTCTTGTGACAACTTGAAATGGAACATCCTTA